AGCCTTGAGAGAAGAAGACTGAGAGGGGACCTGATCCAGGTCTATAAATATCTGAGGTGTGGGGGGCAGAATGGCGAGGCCAGACTGTTTTCAGTGGTGAGTGGAGACAGGACAAGGGGAAACAGCTGGAAACTGCAGCATAGGAAGTTCTGCACCAATGTGTGCAAGAACTTCTTTACAGTGAGGTGACGGAGCACTGGAACAGGCTGCAGGGAGGTTGTGGAGTCTCCTTCTCTGGAGATGTTCAAGACCTGCCTGGATGCCTACCTGTGCGACCTGCTGTAGGGAACCTGCTTTGGCAGGGGGTTGGACTCGATCTCTGGAGGTCCCTTCCAACCCCTGCAATTCTGTGATTCTCTGAAAAGAAATTACTTCTGGTGAGTCCTTGTTGAAGATGATGCGAAATCCCATGTCTCCAGCTGCTCTGGCTGTAACTGCAAATATAAGTCTTTTGGTAACACCACTTAGGAGTAATTGTGATGTGTTTCTGCACTGCTTCCCTTCGTTACAGCCAGCAATGTGGCCAGTCTTCCCCAGCCCTGTGTTGCTCAGATTTGATTTAATTTTCTTGTTTTGGTTTACATCACAGCTCTGTAGACAGCCCTACTACTAATGGAGTGGTGGGATGTCAGCATGGGGTTGGGAAATAGCTGCAGGAGGCAAAAAAGGCAGTGCATTCTTTAAGTTGCTCTTTGTCATGCTTGTGGTGCTGTGAAGTCCCATTCTCACATCCCTGCCTGCTCAGACTGGAGGTGGTCATTCCCAGGCTCTCCCGAGCACTGAGTTCAGAACGTGCAGCTGAGCTACTTGAAGAACATATAAACATGATTGTAACTTTTTTGTTGTTCAGCAGCAAGCAGAGACTTTGTAAGAAAGAGCTGCATTTTGGCTTTTCTTCCCATCTGTTTTTGAAGGAAGGATGTGGCTTTCCTGAAACATTGCTAAATGAAGGTGGAAGTGTGAGCTCTCAGCCTCGTCTTGGCGAACTTCACAGCTGTGAACTTCAGCCTTCTGTGGCTACTTCTGCTGAGGGCTGTGGTGGCTGCAGTGTCAAGTTGCTAATTTTTAGTCCATGTTCTGAAGAAATACTTATGAGGCAAGTTTCCTTTCACATCGTGTAGAGCAGGCCAGCTTTTAAAGAATCTTTGTGTATGCCCAGATCCATAAAGGTCTTTTTTTCTTGCAAAGTACCTGCAGGCTGTATTTTCAGTGTTGCTTCTGAGCTTTTGAATCCATACACATCTTATTATCTTTTTTCTTTTTTTGTGTGGATGATGTATATAGTTGGGAATGTTGGGAAAACAGAGTACTCTAGTTAAGTCTTTCGTTAACCTTGGTTTAACTTTCTTGAAGCATGGATTTTTATTAAATCCAGGGGAAAATAGCCTTGCAGTGGCTGTGGTAGGCTCCAGGTAAGTATTAAATGCTACGTGCTCGTAAGCAATTTGTAAGGTGGCAGCAGTGAGAGATGATGCAGATGTGGCACTAATCTTAAGAGTAAAGCTGGTTTGATGCTCTGCTCCATAGGTCTTAGATAACCTTAAGGCAGCTGCTTGACCTTTGTCTTTTTTATCTGCAAAGTAGGGAAGTAGAAGTAATGCAACATAATGCAGTAGTGCTCCAAGGGTACGCAGTGAAGCACTCGCGTGCTATAGGAAGTTAAACCTGTCACCATTCTGTGCAGTGAAGTTTCATGGGGATGCTTTAAGGAAAGTTAGTACTTCCTAGAAGGAAAAGCAACAAACTGCTGGACTACAGAGCCAGTGCCATCGCCACGCAGTCCGATCATTACAGAGTGCAGCGCTGTGCTCTTGGAAATTTTCTGATAGGTGTACGAGCTGTGGGCTGCAGACAGCAATATTTGTTTTGATTTCTGTGTGAAGTTCTTAGCATATACAAAACCAGAATGCATAGGCATTGGTACCTCTGCACAGTTGGTATTCTTGGAGGAGTCCTGACCTCTGCTTGGTAGCTTTAAGGCATTGCCTGAGCTCAATGACGGAATGTTCCCAGTGGTGGAAGAGATTCCGGGACCAACCGGTGATGCTGCAAAGCAGTGGAAGCGTTCCTGAAAAAGTCACTTCCTTGAGCCAATGCAGCTTCCTTGTAAATGAGAAAAATGCCCTAGTTGTGACTTCTTATGTATTTTACTTTCGTGTGTGTTGTCCTTCCTATAAAGTTCTAACCTTGCAGAACAGCTGTTGATCTTCATATAAGCAGCAACCAATGAGCAGTGCTGCTTTCAGTGCAGCAGTAATTTAGGGACTGTGCAAGGGTGGTGCTGAGAATGTTTGACTCCAGCATGGGTGTGTTCAGGAAGATGTCTTCTAATTAAGGGAGGAGCAAAAGATATCTGTTGCTTGTCAAGGGTGTTTGGTGTCTGTTAAAATTACGTTTGGGTTACACAGATTCTCTTACCTAAAGAATTAATATTTGAGCTTTGAGGAACAGAAAACTGCATTAGCTTTGTGGATGAGCAGCAGTAGATACAAAGCCAGAGGCAGGAGCAGTTTCATCAGGCTGTGTACCTGAGAAGAGCATGGTGCTGATAGATCACCTCCTGGTAGATCTGTGGCCGTGTTACCTTTGTGCAGCAGAAGCATTTGAAAAGTTGATGAGTGCAAGGAGTGGAAGTGGTGACTGCTTGGGATGTGCTGAAGCATAACATCTTCTGGTGTGTTTCTCCCCACTTCTTCTCCAGAGGAGAATGGCTTTTAGTGCCTTCTGTGAGACCTCAGGGAGGTTCTTGCCATTGGTCACCCTTAGCAAACCAGGGTGGACTGTCTGTCTGGTTTAGGGTTTAGGCCTGCGAGGACCCAAGGAGGAGGACTGTATGTCACGTGTTTTCTGTGGGCTCAGAAGTGATGCTGTATTTGCTCTGAATATCTTAATACATTGCTCCACAGCTGTAACCCACACACAGGCATAGTTAGCATCTCTGCTGTTTTATTAATGGTGTGCTGTGTGAGTTGCTGTTGTTTGGTACTCATACAAGTAACAGGTGATTTACTGTGTAAGCTGTGGGCCTACTGATCAATTAATTGATCAGTATTATATTGGTCATCTGTAGCGCATGTGTCAGCTGACTGGTTCTTCTCACCAGAAAATATGTATGTATTCATAAAATTCATTCTGAGTTATTCAGGAGTGAGATCTCTATGCATTACTTTCAAAAGAATCTAAGTATTTTTCTCCATCTAAAAATACATAAAAGGCACTAAAAGTGCCTTCACCAGTGTCACCCTCAGTGCTCTCTCCTTCAGCTTGCTGGAAGGCTCATATTTGGCATGTAGGAAAACATCAGGCGCAGGCTGACATGCTGAAAGCCTCGTAACAGGACTGACTACCACTTTAAGCCCACATGTCAGTGGCTGAGGCTGTACAGCCACCAGGCTGCATTCCTGCTGCATCTGTGGTGTGAGAAGGGAAAGCAAGGGCAGCAGAATCTGCATCATTCAACTGGGTTCCTTGCTGGCATCTGGATACTGCTGGGAATAGGTTACAGGGTTTAGGAAAATCGTTAGACACAAATCAGTAAAACCTATTGCTATCCTACTATGCTGGTTTTGCCCTGTCGCATTGTACAGTTGGCAGTAGTCTCTTGTTGTGCCCCGCATCCCCTGCTCCTATTGCAGTGGCAGTTGCTCTTCACCCAGTGCCTCCCATCTCTCTGTTTGGCTCTTTATCCAAAGCTGTCGAATTAATTCAGTCAGTTCCTTGGGGGATGCTGCCTGCTGCTGAGCACCATTTCACAAACGTAGCTGGCTTTGGGCTGTTGCCCTTTTCTGAAGTCTCAGGCACAGAGCCTCAACAGAGATTTGGCTTATATTACACATACGCTGAGCAGTTTTTCCTCGTCTTCCAGCTGGACTGCTTACTGTGCTGGTCATCCTGTTCCTGCCTTTCAATTTGCTCTTTCAACCATGCTCCGTTTCCTTTCCTACACAGAGTACCTTCAGTGTCAGGAATGTGGCCAGGTGAGGGGCAGCCCTATAGCTATAGTTTTCCAGATCCTTTCTGGCAGGAATTTTGGAGGAGGAACTGTCTTGAAAACTGCTGATGTTCTTTCCATTAAAAACAGTGTTGGCTTTTGGCCCTTAAGTTTTTCCTGCTGCCATCTCAGCTGTAACTTTAATTTCTACTTTTTTTTCTTGCACTTTTCCCAAATTCTTCATTCTCAGATTTTAAAGATTATTTTGTCGAATCATAATATCTAAATAAATGAAGCTGGTTTCTCCATGTGTTGTTCTGTCTTGCTGTTATCCAGTTGTTCTTTTTGCACAAACTATCGCTCTGTTGCTGTTGTCTTCCTCTTCAAACGTTGTCCAACCCTCCCCAGAATACTGCACCCATTCTGGTTTCCCCCGAGCTCCTCTTGCTGACACCATTACTTTTGAGCTCAGAGCTCTGTGTCCGTTTTTACCCTGCTGCTTGTTGCTGCTGAACAATGATATTTCTAAAACATGTTAACCTTTCCATGGATATAAATCACTTGCCATGGTTCCCAGTTACCATTATGTGACTACTGCCCCATCAGCCTTTCTGGTGAAACTGTTTGCCTTGATACAGAATCTATTTAAGGATGAGTTTGGCTGAGCACTGTGGGATTTCTCAAAGTCAGCTTGGCTTTAATCTTTGTAGAAGTCATTCTTCCCTGGAAGCAGCAGAAAAATACTTTTCTTTCTCCAAATAGGAGAGATGGTAAGAATCTGCTATGAAAGATCCCTGCCAGCTGTGGACTCCAGCTGTGTGATGAGATATGAACCTGGCCTGTTTATGAAATAAAATAAACGTGAGAGTTCTTTAGCTAATTGTATTTGAATATCAGTGTTAAGGACTAGGGATGTTTAAATATTGTACTAATAGTCGATTTTGGAAGACAGAATCTTTTCTGTTTTCTTCCCTGAGCTCTCTGGTTTTTCTCCCAGTTTCTGCATAGGCTTTGTATCTGTAGCAAGCTCTGCAGCTGCAAACAAGTCAGCTCTGAGTTATTTCAACAGAGTTCATTTGCCTATAGAGAAATATTCCTTCACACACCGAAAATTGTGCTCATCTTCTGGTGATTTTATGAGGACCAGGGATGTCAGCACCAGCCCAGGAGGAGCCCTGCTGGGCAGCTGTGCTGTGAGGCACGTTGCTCTTGGCAGTGACTGGTTGAGTAAGTAATCTCCTTTGGAAAACGTGGGTAAATCAACTGTGTTAGCATTGTGGCTCTTCTGGAATCTGGCTGCAGAAATAGAGCCACGTGTTTGCTCCCTGCTGACACCGTCTGCTCCTGTGTTCCTCCAGCCAGCATCCGTCCTGACTGTGGGCTTGTCACAGGAACAGGGAGTGTGTCAAAGTGGCCCTGGGAATGCTGTGCTTCCTACTCTGGGACAGGACAACTAAGCCAGGGTTGTGTCTGTGGGAGGGGTGTGCTTTGCTCAGCTGGGCTTGGATTTCTAAATGCTTTCCTGCTCATTTGTGCTCGTGCTCAGTGTGCAGGGGGCCCTTTATTGTATCCGTACAAGGAATCATGTTTGCCGGAACAGTGTGGCTTCCAGTAGTCTGTTGTGAAGGAATGGTGCACAGGTGCTGCTGCAGTGGGTGTTGCCTGGTTTTTGCCTCCTGGCAGATCACTGTGAGGCACAGCAGTAGTTCAGCCTGGGTTACAAAGCATGTAGAACAAGGTTTCTTGTACAGCACAGTGAAAGGCACTTGTGTTTCACGGTGCTCTCAGCTTTGCATCCTGTTGGCTAAACTCAAGATAAACAAGAGCAGCCTTTCTGACCTGTGCCCAGAGCATCTGGGTGACTGAAAAGGAGGAGAAAGTGAAATGGGTACAGATCAGCCTGATCTTGGAGGCTTTGCCCTGAAATCTAGCTTGCTTCCAGCTCTGACAGCTGGCCAGAAATCCCTGGAGAAAATGTGCCTTCCCAAGAACCTCTCAGTTATCCTGTAAGATCCAGTTTTAATTTCAGTTATATTGGTATCCCTTCAGTTAGCTGAAACAGTTTTAAATAGCCTGGCTTCCAAACACAGTTACATTTTAAATTAAAAAAACATATATATGTATAAATTGGAACCATGCTCACTTTATTTGTTTGTGTACATCTTTCCTTCCATTTTCAAGAATTGCATCTCATGTCCAATTTCTTTTTGCAGTTTTGTTCAGTGGAGGGACTGCTGTATGTCAGCCATGCTAAAGGGCAAGTGATGGAGGCAAGTATTAGTTTATATATTCATAGTTATCTCATACCGTTTTTACCAGTTTCGCCTTTTTAACTGCTTTGTTTCTTTCCCACTGCTGCTGTGAAATAACTGCACAAGTGAAAGACTGTACGGGCATGTTCTGGGAGGGAACCGTGTTATATGATCTGCTCAGTGTGACTGTGGATATAGAACGACTAACTGTCCCTGATGTACTGTATGCTCATACAAATGAGAAGTGTTGCTGAGCTTCATCCTGAAGGCACTGCTTTTTTTCCCTCAAATATAGAACACAGAGTTGTTACGAGTTGAAAGCAAGCATAAGGATTCAATGTTATTGCAAATAGATGTGCTAATTTATTCTGCTGATTCACAGTTCTTCTCATTTATGAGTAAAGCAAATGTTTTTCTCTGCAAAGCTAGATACTAGTACAAATAAGTAGCTCTAAGGACCTTCGTACCAGAGATGCTCTTTGAAAAGCTTTGTTCAGACTCGCAACAGATTCACCATATGGAAATGTGAGCAGATGACCACGAAGCTTCTGTAGGAGCTTCTGAGTCATGAGTCAGGGTAATGTCAGCAATCACTCACAGAACACATGGGCATGGCAGTGACACGTTTGTGAACTGGGCTCGTTTGTTTCAGGTGAGTTTGTAAACTGAAACAGAGCTGATTGGAGCAGTCGATGGTTTCCAGCAGCTAATGAATGCATGGAACTTCAGTTAGACAGAGGTGATATTGTTTTAGATCAACAGTATTGCCAGTGGTAATCTGCATAGAAAGCATATGGTGGATAGTAAAAATGATGAGTGAGGAATATGTTGGAGATCTGTTCTGAACTACAGCTTTTCTGCGAGACCAAACTGAAAAATGAATGCCGAGAGAGTTAGCTAAAATGGAAAGTTACAGGTCAGCTGTCAAGGCTGCATTTCGTACGGCAAGTAATTCTGGGACTCCTGCTTTTTTTAGCCATTGAGTTTTGTTCACTTAACTGTCTGCTTTTTTGTTTTGAATTTTGTTCACTTCTTTTCACTTCTTTTGTTCACTTCTGGGTGATGAGAAAAATCTATTTGTGCCTTTTTTTCTCAAAACCAATTAATAGGAACATGCGATTCAACTTCATGAGAATCAGTTACGTCAGAAAAAAGTAGAACTGTAAGAAAGAGCTTAAAAATCCAGCTGTGATACTGATCACCTAAGGCATTATGTATGTAAAAATAAAAGATTGGTGGTACCTTTTGATTCTGCCACAGTTCCACAGTGAACGTGGGTAAATATTTTTACTTTCTTCTGAGGTGAAGCTTATTGCTTTGCCTTTAAATGGGTTATTGATTAAAATGATGATATATTTTAACTGGTGCTTTTAACGTGGTTTCAAAGTGCTCAGCTAAAATACTGTAAGATTCCAGTGGTTTGCTTCTGTAGTTACTGAACGTCATCTCACCTCCAACTTCATGCAGTGATGTTTGGGGAAAAGAAAAAAAAGCAGAAGTGAGTGTGATGCAGCTCTTGGATGTTTTTGGATGCCAGTTTAAAAAGCATCTGGGAACATCTGTTCTAACCCATTGTGTTGGGTTTCAGAAGTACAGAATTGAGAGCTCTGCAGCTGTAGCCTCAGTGCACTGTATTTCTGCAGCTGCTTCAAAATGCAAACGGATGTTCTCAAATCCCAAGCATGTGTTCCATTTCACATGAAATGTTTTTTAAAGCACAGGCTGCCTTTTGCCAAGATTGAGTTGACTTCTGTGGTCTAGTTTCTGTATTTTTATAGAAGCCTAACCAAAGTGTTTTCCTGCAAGAAAACAACGATCAGCTTCTGAGCACGTGATCTCATGGTGCTAATGTGAAACTCAGATAGTGTCCTTCCTTCCTTCCTTCCTTCCTCATTCCTGGCTGTACTTCTCCAGCAGTGTGTTGTTACAAAAGTTCTCAGTTGCACAGTAGTGTAACCAGCTGCTTTCCGAGCTCTGCTGATGTGAGGAGGGGAGGCTGATGTCTTCTGGAGAAAACCCGCGTGTTTTCCCTGCCGTGGAGGCTGAGCTACACGCTGTGGTGCTGCATTCTCTGCCCCTTCAAAAGGGTGCCTTGATCTTCTTTTAAAAAGGAGTTTCTGTTTTCTCCGAGAATTATGGATGGGACTATGCCCATAGAAACCATTTCACTTGCCTGTCCTTGCTTGACTTTCCTGTCTAGTTTCCAGTGCAATCAATAGATGCTAGCAGCAATAAGGCATTTTTTACTGCTTGGAGATAAATGGTTAACTGATTTGGAAATGTTCTGTCTTCTTGCATTTATCAAATACTGTGGAGTTAAGCATTCTGCAGGAAAATCAGGTAGGCAGGACAGATGTTATGATTGAAGCATGTTCCTTTGATAAGGAACAAAATTAATTCTGCCAAAAAGTCTAACATGTTCTATGAAAGTGTAACTTCACGTTATGTTACATACTACTGTGGGCTTTGTGTTCTTAATAACAAAAAAAACCCTTGTTCTTTCCCTTCCTCCTTCCCCACTTCTGTAGACTTTTTTCTTTAAAAGAAAGCCTTTCTTGCTTCACTTTGTGCTGTGCTTCTTCCCCTAGGCAATAAATGAATTGTCTCATACAAGCTTTGGCTTCTGCACACAGCCTTAGATGCAACTAATACCAGGATTGAGGGATGCTTGGAAAACCGATAAATTTGTTTTGTTAATGGCATGTTTTGTACATTGTTTTTTTTAACCCACTAGTTTCTGCATGGATGTGTAATAATGGCTCTTTTGTTTAACATTAGATAAGCATGAGATCACCGTGGCACAGCTGCATGTGTAGTCACTCTTGAAGCAATTGCACACCTAATTGGCTGACAATCTTGGCATTTTTAAAACAAACACAAGCCTTTTAAAGACAGGGGACATGTTTATTTACGAATAGTCAAATTAACCTGTGGGGTGTCATCAATGGAGCCCTCTGGCAGTGAACAGTTGTGCGATGACCCTGATCCTGGAGGCAAATCCCAAGATCAAGAGACCAAAAAACAACATGAATCAGAGCAAAAATTATCCAAAATAACCCATAATGCTTTGGAGAACATTAATGTGATTGGTCAAGGCTTGAAGCACCTTTTCCAGCATCAGCGCAGGAGGTCGTCAGTTTCTCCACATGATGTTCAGCAAGTTCAGGCTGATTTGGAGTCTGACATGGATTTGGAAAGCCAAAGCGCCTGCGCTGAAATTGATGGTGTCTCCACCCACCCTACAGCTCTGAACCGAGTGCTTCAGCAGATCAGAGTGCCACCTAAGATGAAGAGAGGGACGAGCCTGCACAGCAGGCGGGGCAAGACGGAGCCTCCCAAAGGAAGTCCCCAGATCAACAGGAGGTCTGCACAAGATATGCAATCAGGTCGTCCCAGGTCGTCGTCCACTACAGATGCTCCCACGAACTTGTCCGTGACGGAGATTGCTTCTTCTGTCTGTGTAGGTGGAGAGGAGGCCACAGCAGCAGTAAGTTACTCAGATTTACCTTTGGTGTTTATCATCTCCTTGTGTGTTTTCTTAAGACTTTTGAGCCTTGTTTTTAAAAGCAAGTGTCTTTCAGCAAACTGAACTACTACTGTGTTCAAAATCTTTTTGCGTGTGATGAAGCAAAGGTGCAAGCATTAGTCATTTTCTCACATGGCAGGTGCTTATTTTATTTGATTGCTGAAATGAGGACTACTTCTGCAGCATGTTAAGCTGGTCAGATGGTGCATTGCAGGCAAGCAAGGAATGATGGGAAGAGCAGCAGCCCGAGTAGTCCTTCTTAGCAGCTATTTCCTGCAACTGATGTGGCTTTTTTTCTTCCCTTCATATTTTATTGTGTATTTTCTAAAAGTGAGGAATTCCAGTTTGAGCAAATGGAGCAGTGGATTGTTCACGTTGTAGAGAGGCTATGGGGATGGCGGCTGCAGTAGGTAACTGAGTTGCAATGCCAGGGTGGCCAAATTTGTCAGTCAGCCCTACTGCTGTGCTGAAATGAGCCTTTGCCAAAATGACAGTCTCTGTTCTGTGACTTGTTCTTGCAAAGTTATGTGTATTGGTTTACTGATGATATCAAGTAGAAGTATTTGTCTTAATCTTTCATGTTTCCCAGATCTGTTTATCTGAAGTGCTTGCAAGATCTTCAAATCGGGGCTTATCATTGTGATCTGGTGTGTAAATATTCCTCTTGGAAGGAGCATTGAGAGTCTAACTTTGAGATTTCTGTTCTGACAGCAATTAAAAGAAAAGGAATAGTGATATAATTGGGAGAAGTGGATGCTCTCCAAGAACCGGTTAACTTTGTGTCTGAACTGTATCAAAAGGGCTCTTATACTAGTTTCAGGTTTATTTCCTTGCAAGCTCTTTTTCATTGTGATTGGACTCATGACCTTCGTTTCAGGTGAACTTTGAAGAGAGCCAGTAATTTTCCAAGTTTGTATCCAAATCCAGCAACTTGAGTTACGAAGCATGGCAGCCTGTTTTGGTTTGTCAGGTTACAACCTTAGCTCATTTAGATCTGATATACTTGATTTTAAACATGCTTGCTTACTTACAAAGCGCTATTGTAAGTGATGTCTCAGTGTACGTGCAGGAAGGGAGGCTCTTCTGAAAGTGCTCACATTTTCCTTTAGTAGTGGCCCTTGCATCTCTGTGATACGTGTGCAGTGTGAGAACCCTTGGTCACGAGGCTGAGGAAGGCTGTGGAAATGAAGTTGATGCACCTCAGCATGGCCCCTCTTTATCTCATCACCCGAAGTGTGTCTGCTGCTTTCAGACTTGCACCTCACACTCTGCCCTTAACCTGAGACAACCTCTGTGCTAATTTGGGATTGCTTCCTGACACCCATCCTGAAAAGCATAGGTGGACTTTGAGATAAAATCCTAACAAACCCTTCAGGAGTGCTGACAGCATTTGTTGACATGTTTCTGAGCTTTGATGTTTTAGTAATGTTAGTATCTGTGTAGGCCCATGTAGAATTGGGAAAGAAAAGAGTGAGCAAGGGGGGGAATCTTAAAATGAGAGCAAGAATTTTTTATTTTTAGCAGAACCAACTAAAAGCCAAAGCAATGGCAATACTCAGTCATGAACTTTTTGTAAGCTAGCAGCAAGGGCCTCTAGTCATACAAGATTCAGTTTACTTCAGAGATTTGACATGCTTGTACACAGACTCAAGCTGAGACAGTACTGGCTCTGGCTTTGCACTTTCTTACACGTGCACAGCTACAAGGTAAATATCAGTCTTCAACATCTGGCTACTTAACAGCATTCAGTTTCAAATGCAGTGGGTTGCTGGTGCTCACTCTATGTAGCATTCTGCAGTTGTGCTTCTATATGGTGTGATATTTTATTATTTTTTTTAATAAAAGGCTATGGAGTGATCATCTAAAATGCATCATTTCCCCACCCTCGTCCTGAAATTTTCTTATAACTTTACAAAAGACAGATGTGTGCTTAAGTTGTCAGTCTATGTTTAACCAGCTTCAGCTATGACTGATCAAAGTTGAGTAGTGTCTGGAGGAACATCTGGCTCTTGCCAAAGGATGATGGTGGAAACAGATACCCTGAAGATAGTAAAGAAAACCAAAAACTGCCGTGGATTCCATACAGTGGCTTTCTGCAGCGTGGAAAATACCAAAACAAGCAAGAATTGGTGAAAATTGTTCTTACTGGCTGTAAATGACCAAGGAAACCATACTAGCAGCATGGAGCTGTGTCTGTGGTTCCTATCCCAGGCATTGGTGCCGTACAGCATCTCATATCTTAGAAAAGTGCTGTCATAAAAGCCATGCCTGTTGTAGTCTGCAAGCAGTCTAGAGCTTCAGAGTTGCTTGGTTCTGTTTTCCATGGGTGTCCATCATGAGTGTCCATGCAGTAGAAATTTTCAAGCTGGGAAGTTTCTGTTTAATTTGTCGGCTTATTATGTCTTTATTAATAACTAAAATCAGTGAGTTATCTCAGATAGTGTCAGCTGCCTGGCCATGAAAACACGAAGACACTGAAAAAAAAACTTGGAACCCAGTTTGTAATAGAGAATTCTATGCAGCAGCTAATTGCTAGCATCTCTAGGTCTAGCAGTATAAAAGTATTTTCTTGTTCTTCCATTATTTTACAAACTTCATTCAGACATGCATGGTTTTATCAGTTTTTGGTATAATCATATCATAGAATGTCTTGAGTTGGAGGCTCCTTAAAGATCTAGTATTCCAGGTGGGGCCCCAAGGTCAGGAAGGACTGGAACAAAGTGCAAATAAATGACTGGAAAGGCTTTGTGGTAGACAAAATACAGTTGAGATAGGCGAAGTGCAGAAACGACTGTGGGACTGGAGCTGAAGGAGAGGTGTGCTTGTGTCAGCCCTTCACACAGCCCAGCCTCGGATCAGCTGGCTGTGCTCAGGGCTCTGGTGAAGAAAGTCAGGAATCTGCTCAGCAAGGGTCTGAAATCAGGAGAGCGCAGTTCAGCCGGTTGTTGAATCGTTCTTACAAGAGGCATCGGTGTGTTTGGCATCTGAGAAGCACATGTGGCATTCAGTCAATTGCTTTTTCTTTAGCGACTTGTATTGCAAAACTGGTTACCACACAGTTCAAATGGTGCAGTTGATAAAGGGTGTTTAGCAACTTGTGTTGCAAAAGCAGTTACCACACAGTTCAGATGGAGTCAATAAAGGGCTAAGTAACATCTGGAACTGTTGCAGTAAGCTTAAATGGAGCACAGGGCACGTTAAGCATGAACTCAGCCCTTACACACTGTCTTTAAGTTATGAGTGGTGAAGTTTTAGCACATTGTTACATCAGGGAAACAGGGTGAAAGCATTTCATCCACTGAACCTGCATTATTTTGCAAATCTTATGAAATAGGAATAAGTTCTTCAAAATACTTGTTAAATAACACTCTGGTATTTGTGGGGAGAGTACTCTGCTCTGGTAGGTTCAGCTCTTGCCCGTGTGTGCTCTTGCCAGTTGTGTATGCAGCAAATCTGTCCTTGATCTCATTTCATATTAACTTTCTCATGACTATGCCAAGTTATCTTCTTTTTGATCTCAATCTCTCAAAAAAGATCTTTAAAAAATAAAGCACCACCAAGTTCACTTTCTTGATGTTGGTGTTTCTTCAGTGGCAGTGTTTCTTCTGTTCTGTAGGGACTGTACAACTCACAAGGACAAGGAAGCAACGTATTCAGTGAAAATACTGTGATTTAGTAGTGACTGAAACGTGTAGTGTGTGAATTGCAGTCGAGCAACGTTATTCTGTTTTTGTGTGCTGAATGTCTTCTGTCCTCAGCTGAACCGCCAGCCCCCATCGCCTGTTGTGCTCTGAGGTTAGTGGCTGCCACTGTTGTGGAGCTCTTCTGCCCCCGTCAGATGCATGGTGGCACTCATCCCTACACCGTGCTCAGTGCTGCTCCTTGAGCAGAAATTCCTGCTCTGCTTTGCCTCCTTTTTTTCTTCCCAATGTTTAGATCCTGCCATCTAGAAGAACTACTGGGCATTTTATTCTCTTGTAGTGGTTTCATTATTGCAACGTTGCGAATCGCATTTTGAAATAAGGGGGCAACGCATTCCTTTGCTACAGTGTTTGCTAAGTAATGCTGCTAATTACTTTGCTAAGTAATGCTGCATAGTGTCTGTGGTTATTAAGCCTAGAATTTGCCCATGACTGCAAAAGATTTCGGTACATGTAAAGACAAAGTCAGTGGACATGGCTTACTGAGAAATTAGCTTTCAATTGTATTTTGTTAGGTGCATGTAAAAGCTTTTGCAGGCTGCTCTGAAGTTGTCAGTGCTCGTTTGTGTGGCAGGAGCCTTATCTGTTGCAAATGTATTTGTGAAGCATAGATGGAGAGCAGACCAAATGCTTCTGTCTAGAGTTTACCACTGAAGCTAAAGAGCAGTTAAACACATTCAGACTATTTCCATATCTTCCATATTTGCAGAGTCTGGCCCAATGTTTCATGCTCTGTCCTTCTGTTTGAAGTTGTGCTGCACCGTGGTTTAAATATATGCTCTCCTCTGCCTACAGATATGGTGTTCTGAGCACAGCGTTTGTGATTCATTGTGTTGTGCAGTTGGGCCTACTGTTATACTTAATTTTTAACACTAGGTGCTGTACTGTAATTTGGAGAAAGGAAAAAAAAACCAACTTCATCGATATGGCTGTTAATGAGGTAAGTAGCAGAAGTGAAAAATGAGTTGTTTTTTTTTTAATGAGGTGTCCATTTGTGAAACTGAGACCATGCTGTCGTGGGGCAGTTGTTAAAGATGAGACTCCTCAGACCTGAAGCAGAATGGCAGAGCCTGCGTTCCTGGACCTGCCTTTCAGGGTCCCCTTCTAGGGAAAAAGTTTTCTCATACCTGCCCCACATGTGTAAGTTTGGCATCAAAGTTCCTGGCAGGGGGGGGGAAAAAATCACGCAACTTACCAGACATGGCAATATTTTCTACTGTCAGCCCTGCTCCTCTAATCACTGCCTTTTGCAGTTGATAA